ACCATTCTCACCAGGCTGGAGTTGTGAGAGGTTCAATTGCTCCTGTAAAGCACCATCCAAACCCAATAGGTTGCCAAAGAGACTCACAGCTCATTCTCAGAACCAGAGGACTGCATGATACGGAAATAATCTGAAAACAATGATTGGCACCTTCCACCGCCTTAAACGGTCACTCCCTCTGTTACACAGTGGCAGCAGTGCTACAACTATGTACTACAACAACTCGTCAAACCTCCTACAATGGCACTTCCCAAGTCTGCAACTTCTACCACCTAGAAGCAGCAGATGCATGTGAACATCACCACCTAAAGTTCCCCTCCAAGCCACACACCATTCTCACTCGGAACTTTTCAATAATACCTCATTGTCACTGCGTCAAAATCCCAGAGCTCCTTTCCTAACAGCATTGTAGGTGCACTGGCAAGGCAGGGACTGCAGTGGTTCAAGAAGCAGCTCACTACCACCTTCTCAAGGGCAATTAGGGATGGGCATAAAATGCTAAACAACTCGAGGATGACTGAATTGACATATTAATGACTGAGAGGCGAATATCTAGCATACATAAGTCAATAAGCCTACATGAAAGAAGAACTACTTCAACAACATGCTACAAGGAACAGAATAGGGATCTGAATCAAAGAAGACAAACAGATAAAAAAAATTGTAAACATGCAGCAGGTCAGGCAGTATAACAGTTTTTTTTCAGGCAATATGACAGTTTTCAGTTGATGACCTTTATCAGAACTGGAAAATTAGGAAAAAGGAAGGACGACTACAAAAGAACAAAAGAAGTAGAAGTCCTATGTGGTATATTACAATAACTAAGTATTTTGTTACACTGCCATCTCGAAATAGAATGTATGAATAAACTTAGTTCAATACCGGCCGCCTGATGATGTATTAATCTCACTGAATGCAATATGCAACAAAAAGATGTTGATGAGCAGGTACACAATGAGTCAGAAGGTTACATCATTGAAAAGAATATCTCTGAATAATGTATTCAGGGTGAATTCAATGAGTGAATTCAATCCTAACAAAGAGGATCGGTATAATTATGAACAAAGGTTGCACACTTGGATGAAAGCAAAGAAATAGAAGGTCGCCACATTACCAAAAGGATGTGGATGCTTTGGAGAGGGTGCAGAGGAGGTTCACCAGGATGTTGCCTGGTATGAAGGGCGCTAGCTATGAAGAGAGGTTGAGTAGATTAGGATTATTTACATTAGAAAGACGGAGGTTGAGGGGGGACCTGATTGAGGTCTACAAAATCATGAGAGATATAGACAGGGTGGATAGCAAGAAGCTTTTTCCCAGAGTGGGGGACTCAATTACTAGGGGTCACGATTTCAAGGTGAGAGGGGAAAAGTTTAAGGGAGATATGCATGGAAAGTTCTTTACGCAGAGAGTGGTGGGTGCCTGGAACACGTTGCCAGTGGAGGTGATAGAGGCGGGCATGATAGCGTCATTTAAAATGTATCTAGACAGATACATGAATGGGCAGGAAGCAGAGGAATACCGATCCTTGGAAAATAGGCGACAGGTTTAGATAGAGGATCTGGATCGGCGCAGGCTTGGAGGGCCGAAGGGCCTGTTCCTGTGCTGTAATTTTCTTTGTTCTTTGTTCTCGAAGATAAGGATAAAGTAAATGTTTTCCTCATCATGATAGACCAAATACTTTTGAGGTTGGTGTCTAGCCAAAGTTGTCCAGTAGTCCTCAGGACTATAGAGTGCCGGTTTAGCTTAGTTGGCTGGTTAGTTGATTTGCAAAGCAGTATGACGCCAACAGTGTGGTTTCAATTCCCACACCGGTTGAAGTTACCGTGAATGACTCTCCTTCTCAACCTCTCCCTTCGCCTAAAACAGCAGCCATATGGTATGGTAAGACAATGGTGTCTTGATCCTTGAGAGTGTTCTAAAATTAATGGGATTATCAACACATATTACAGAATGATTTAAGAATAAGCTTGTCCCAAGTGGTGTTTTCCATGGAAATAAACAATTCACAAGGGCAATCTACATTCTCAAATTAAAGAAACCCTCTTATCATTGTGGGTCTGGTGTAATCACAGAAATCAATCTTAGACACCTGTTTGAGGGAGACCCAAAGAACAATAATCCCAGGTCAAGCTTGAGCAAAACTTGTAATGATGCCACATCCATGGACATGGCAGGGATCTGTAGATTGCAAGGGAGTTCCTTTTCTGACTCTGCAGGATGGTCCATTAAATTTCAGCCAGATGGAGGCTATTGTAGCCAAATTCATATTCCCAGAGTCAGAAATTCAGATGCTACCTATGACAGCATAGTTTCAAACCATTTAAATGTCCCCATTTTCAGTCAAAATGCACTCCTTGACTGCATACTGAAGGGGAGGGAACAGTAATGCTTCAGATTGTGGTAAAGCTCCAAGTCTAAGCTATATAGTTGGTCAAGCACGTTATCGGTCTAAACCTAGTTTAGGAATTTGGAAATTTGAAAACGTACATATGATAAATGTGGAAACAGAAGTTGATGTTATTGAACAGGAAAGTCAGGCATTGTACTCAGTCAGATAGCAAGAGAAACTGCATGCAGAAGATGAGAGTAATAAGGTTGAAGATAAAATCCCACTGCCCACAGTTGAAATTCAGGACAGAGATTCGTAACTTGCTTTCTTCATTGATACGAGTCTCTAAGTCATATTTGCTTACACCAAACCAGTAATTTCTCATCTTCACACTTTTCAGGCCAGCCATTCATTACATAATTGAGGACTTTAATGAGCACACATACTTGCGAGTTGTTTCATTAACTCTTCTGCCCGACACTAGCACATCAAGTCTTTCTCTCGTTTACTGCTCAATGACTAATTTGTGATCAAATGCAAGCAGGCATTAATGAACTAACTTTATACACTGCTCCAGCACTAAAGAGAGAGAGAAGTATAACAAAATGGTTAGCTATTACAATTTACTGCAGCATGTACAAAGCTGTACAAAGCCTTAGGTCACACCTGGAGGACTGTGAGCAGATATGGGTGTCATTCCTTAAGAATGTATATTAACCTTGGACAGATCAATGATATACCAGAATGATGCCCAGACTCCAAGAATTAAGTGACAAGAAAAGATCGCATACACTACGTTATATTTCCTGGAATTTAAAAAAAAAGTTGATTTCATCAAATTTTTCAAAATATTAATGAGAGCTGATGTGGTAGATGGGGTAAAAATATTTCTGCTGGTTGTGGAGTCTGGGACAAGGTCATTGTCTGACGAATTGGAGCTAGACTTCTCAGGAGTGGATTTCGGAAATATTTTGACACATAGGGTGGGAGAAGTTTAAAACTTTCTCTGTGAACAATAATTGATGCAAGATCAATTGGTAATTTTGAAACAGAAATTGGTAAAAGATGTTAAGAATTTGGGGCCAATGTGTGTATATGTAACCAGGTCATACATCAACCATGATCGAACTGGATGGGGGAACAGACTCAAAGGGCCTTCCCCTGTTCCTAAAAGGGCAGGTCTGTGTTAAGCTGAAAGGCAAGACTGATGAAATAACAAAGGAATGATGGTGTAAGGCTGAAAAATGTGGTAATGAGACAAGGAAAGAAATTGAAGGTGGGTTTAGGGGAGAGAATAAGAAATAGCAGAATCATCACCAAGTCATATCTGCAAAAATATAAGCAGTGATTATGATGTGGGATGAGAAAGCAAACTGAGGGATGATATTTAGAAACATTTCATACAAACTATAACTTACAGTTTGTTCTCTGCTTTTATACATGTGTCAGGAGATAACATGTCTATGGAGTGGAGAGAGTCAGAGAGGGCGTGCATGTGCATGTGTATGAGATTGGTGATTCCTGCCTGCCACCAATGTCTGTGATGTATGGAAAATGGAAGCAAAACCTCTCAAATCACCCATTTTTTTATTCATTGGATGAGGGTGTCAGTGACATTTATTGCCCATCCCTAATTGGCCATAGGGCAGTTAAGAGTCAAGCACATTGTTGTGGATCTGGAGTCATATGTAGTCCAGACCAGGTAAGGATAGCATTTTCCTTCCCTAAAGGGCATCAGTAAACCAGAAGGGTTTTTCCTTGACAATTGATTCACAGTCATCAAACTCTGAATTCCAGGCTTTTTTTATTGAATTCAAATTCCACCATCTGCCATTGCAGGATGTGAACCTGGTCCCCAGGATGTTACCTAGGTCTCTGGACTAACTGTCCGGCAATAATACCACTAGGCCATTGCTTCTCCTTTTCTTCCTGGAGCGATAAACAAGACATGATCAAATTCCCCTGCTTCATTCGTATTCGCCTAGGGAAGTGCACTGAATAAAGCAAAAATCCTGGAATTCCAGGTTTCTGGGTGTCAAGCTGATGAGGAATGGATGGACCTCCAAGGGATGCTGCATCAGCAAATATTTATACTGCTTCTCGGTGTTTGTTCCCAATTAGCCCTCAACCTCTGGGCTGGAGATCTGGGGCAAACTAAGGCCCAATGTATTGCTGACTTTGCTTGATGTAATCTAATTATGTATTGATCTATCCTGCTCATTCTTAAATCTCAATGCTTTGCTCATTTAATGAATGAGTCTTTCATTATCAGAATCAAGCCAGGAAACTGTGAAGAAACAAAGCAACCCAAATATTAGCAGTCACATTGAAAACCATAGATTGATCACACAGTGCCTGCAGAATTTCTTATTCAGATGTGTTAAATTAATTGGCATCATATAAAATGTTTCCCTTCTCCTTTTTTGGGTAAACCTAGTTCAAATCACATTTTGAACCACTATGATGTACTGCAGCCTGATTTTATCATGAATAGGTCGTGCGCAGAGCTAATAGATGTCATGACTGGTCCCACAGGTTTTGCACTCTGGCTTTGAGTTTGCTTTTCATTATCATATAGCAATAAGCCATTTCTTGAAAGTGCTGGTGGATCCATCTCTGCCTCCTCCTTGACCACCCCCTCCCAATTCCCACCCCTCATCCCCCATCAGTTTTCTTCCCTTTCATATGGAACTTCCAAAAAGGAACCTCCTCCTGCCCCTAGGCAAGAGGGGCCTAGCCCTCAGCAGATCCGTCAATGGGGTCTTGTGAAAGATACCGGAGGTAAAATCACAGCAATAAAGGCACTAATATTCGGCAGTTTTGCATCAATTCGAACATGAAAAGGCTTTTTTATCTCTCTCTCTTCTTCTTCCCCTTACTAGTTCCAAACTGCCAAACTGCAGCAAGGGCAAATAAACAGATGTTTAAAAAAATCAGCAAGGGTCAATGTGAGCATGGGCATGCTAGGTAAAGGAGCGAATGCAGCGAGTCAAAGTTCTTTCACTAATTCTTGATGCTGGAGAGAGAGGAAGGTTCTGGAGGAAGGTGGCTCCTGGAATTGTCCTGATCTAGTTTCAGGTTAGTACTGGGGTTTGGCTTGAGCAGTTTGGTTCAGAAACCCGAAGGCCGTATCATCATAGTGACCGTGCGTAAGGAATAACTCGGGCCTTTGAAGTAATGCCATTTAATGCCATTCAGCTTGCCCAGCTTCTGTCCTGCCGAGTAATAAATCCCATTGAGATTGGAGGGTCCACAAGCATCAAACCACCAGCCTGCAAAAGCACAGATTAGAGAGGTTAACAGCTCAGCCTCTTAGGTTAGCTGCACATAACAGTCATACATTCACAGAGTACAGGAGGAGACCACTGAGGCCATCGTGCTTATATTAGCTCTTTGACAGAACCATCCAAACAGGCTCACTCCACTGCTCTTTCCCATATCCCTTTCTCCTCCATTTCCCTTTTGAAATATTCTTGTGGAATATGTTCCACCACCATTCCAGTTTACACCAACTCACTCTGTTAAAAATAACATCTCATCTTGCCCTCTGGTCCTTTGGAATTTTTCTTAAATCAATGTCTCTCTTATACTTATACTGACCCTCTTGCTACTGGAAGCTTTTTCTCACTATTTATTTTGTTAAAACCTGTTTATAATTTTAAATTTACTTAGATTCTCCCCACCTATGATTTTTTTCTAGTCTAATGAGAACAGCCCCAACCTCTCCAGTTCTCCACATAACTGAATTCCCTCATTCCAGACACCAATCCAATCAACCTCCCTGCATCCTTTCTTGCTTTGACATTCTTCCTAAAAAGAGTTTCCCATAATTGAACACAATGCTACAGACGAGATCTTCTAGAGATTTATAAATGGGTTAGAATAACATCTTTGATTTTACAGTAGTGTTTTCTAAAATCAAGGATCTCAAATGCTTTTGAACAACTTTATCCTCTTGCCCTGCCTCTTCAGGGATTTGAGATTGGAAATCTTATTTGTCATTCTCCATGTATTTGCACACATGCAGTCCCAGCCTGAGTTATTGCACCTTCTATATCTGTCCTAATATATCCCACCATCTCCTCTAGTTGGACTATTATTTGTTCTAACAGTGTCTGTCTCTCCAGGGACTTTATTTGACACTTTCAGCCAAATTTTTATCAGGGCTTTTACAGATTGAACAACCCACACTTGATCCAGGTTTATCAGAGTAGGGATTATTGTCTTTTTCACTCAATAGACTGGACTCACAGTGCATTACGTGGGCTGTGATGGAGCTGCGTGAGGAAAATGGCTGCTGGAGTGGGTCAGTTAGAAGGTTCACCTCAGATCTCCCAAAACAACAACCCAGCTACCGACATCAATTTAATTAAACTTCACCCCCCAACCTCCAAACCTCATGGGACTCCTGCCACCTCTCATTCCTTGATACTACTGACACCCTGTGTCCTTTCACACTCCATCATACCAGATATGGCACCAATGCCAGTCACGCTCTCATGCATGCCTCCCAATGCATTTTGCATGGCCACTCAGCCTCTATACATGATATACAGTTCACAAGATCCATGCAGTAGCAATAGGAATTGTTTCAAAATAATTGGAAACCCATTGAACCTCCAGCAATTTAAAGCAAAAGCCTGAATTTGAGCACCGTATGTTTGATACTGGACCAATAAACCTAAGGCACTATGAAGTTGTAATCTTCTAAATGTATATTAGGTTTGTAACCGAACAAGAAAGACAAATATCAAAGACACAAATGTTATAATAGGCTCATAAAAGTTTCAATCGTTCTTAGATGAAAACAAACAGAGGCTGGATTGATAATTTGGAAATTGAGGCAAGCATTCATAACGCAACAGCTGTCATAACAAAAGCTTCCAGCTTCACAGACCACTTTCCTTGGTCACACACACCACTGCCCTGCCTCTACTGTCAATGACACATCAGCCTAACTCCCAGTACTGAGGTCTAGTCAACACTCCCATAATGAAATAATCTGCTTTGCCTTGAGTGGGTGGTTCTGCCACTGTCCCCTGCAGAACTTTCTGTTTTTACATGGGCATGGAAGAACGGCTGTGGTCATGTTATTAAGAATCTCGAGAATGTGAATTCAGATTGGACCATGGCAAATTTCAGAATTAGGATTCAGTTTAAGAAATTCTAAATAAATATTGCTCTCAGTATGACTATGAAGCTTTCAGGTTGTTGTAAAAATCCAATGAGTTCATTAATGCCATCTAGGAAAGGAACCTTGCTGTGGTCGTTGGGCTTGGCCTATATGTGAGTCCAGGCCCACAAGAGCACATTTCTGTCCCTTTATTCTGAACTCTCGATATCAGGGGAGATTGTTTCTTTCTAGCTACCCAATCATATCCTTCAATTATTTTAGACAGCTCATTTAGATCATGCCTCAATATTCTACATTCAAAACAGTACTCCAGTTAAGTCTATTTAATTTATTTAAGTCTGTACATTTTATCAAAGTCCAGTGAGTGTAATTTACATAAACCCAGTCTTGCAACATATACAAGCTCAGTCAATGCAAGTTATACAAGACCAGTCTGTGTACACAAGCCTAGACTGTGTAATTTATTCAAGCCCAATCTGTGTATTTATACAAAACTAGTCTGTGCAAGTTATATAAGCCCAATCTGTATAATTTATACAAGATCAGTCTGAGTAATTTATGTAAGTCCGATCTGTGCACTTCTACACACGCTGAGGCCTGACATTGAACAGCACCCACAGTGCTGCAAGCTGTAGCAGTTTATTCTTAAACACGCGTCAATTCAACCCTCAAAACTCTGCTTAGTGTCAAGGTCATTGAGGCAGATACTAGGATTTACACAAAAGCATTGCAATTACCTCCGCATGAGGTATGGCTGACATGAAACTGCTTACCTCCTGTTAACATCTGGGCACACTTGCAGATGCACTTATCATGATCCATGTCTTTGGTGCTGAAATCTGCCCCATGTAAAAGCAAACTGCTCTGCCTGCCTGCTGTGCCACTGTATCCTTTCAGAAAGAGCCTAGAAGGAACCAGAATTAGCGGAAGCTGAATTTCATCACTGTCAGTAAACCACATCAAATATGCAACACAGTGTACTGTCAGTGTGCTGAACAAGCAAATCAGATGGTGGAGAAAGAGAAAGAAAGAGTAAAAAGGGAATAGGAAAGAACTTGCATTTGTATAGCACCTTTTACAACCTCAGGACATCCCGAACTGTTTTAAGTTGATTAAGCATTTTTGAAGCAGTAGTCACTATGTAGTTTGGGGAACACTGCAGCCAAATTGCACACAGCAAGATCACACAAACAACAATGTGATAACGACCAGATCATCCATATTAAGGAAGTTGGTTGAAGGATAAATTTCAGTCAGGACTTGAAGGAAAGTGCCCCTGCTCTTCTTCAATGCACTGCTGTGGGATATTTGTATCTATCTGAAAGGAGACAAAGGGTCTGAGTGTACTGTCCCATCTGACGGTGCAGCACTGCCCTAACACTGCACTGGGGCTGTCAGCCTATACTTTGATTCTCGAATCGGTAAGAGTGATATCCACTGTGCTTAGCCTGACACAGAAATTAAAAGAATAAGATGAAGTTCTTTCTGTATTCTTGCCTGTTTTCATACTGTTTCTGACGGGTGTTGTTTTCATTTTACAACAGAACAATTTTAATAGAACTCGGTCCACTACAACGGCTCCTGTTCCCCTTCCACAATTAACCAGAAGGAAGTTCAGTGTAAGAGACTCATGTAAGAGAGAAAGGTAGTGTGCCAACTCAAAAACATTTCCTCCTGAATGATAGTTAGCATATGAATTATTTTTTCTGTGCCTTTCAGGAATCAAAAAGGAAAACAAAATAAAAGTCTTGCGTAAACAATGAAAAATTAGGGTGGAGGGAGTTTGAGATGTTATTTGTGATGTTTTGTGTTTAACCCGAGCACACAAAACCATAACAGCTATTTTTTATTATAAAGCCAAGCACTATTTATCTCTCAATACCATTACAGTTAACATCATACAAAATTGTTGACAAGTTTTCATTCCCACTTTGGAATAGTTCCATTTCTATTTTTCTCTCTTACCACTAGCACTAGCTGCTCTATAATTAGTCATAGTTGTTCATTATGGTGAAGAGCAGAATAACAGAAGCATAACACACTGTTCCAATGAAAGATCATCAACCTGAAATATTAATTCTGTTTCTCTCTCTAGACCTGCTGAATACTTCCACCACTGTTTGTTCTTAGTTTGCATTTACATGTGCAGTATTTTGATTTTGTAGGGGAATGACAGGTTCACCTAAACATACGGCTCACGAAAGTACAGGCCATATTCTGCATTGAAGATGTTACACAATTCCATCCCTCCCTTCTGCCATTTTCCACATTCATTCGCAGAATGTGCTCATTGCTGACAAGGCTGGCATTTATTGCCCATCCCTGATTGCCCAGGAGAAGGTGGCAGTGAGCCAGCTTCTTGAACCACTGCCCCTCCAATCGGTGATTCCTTGCAGTAATTTTGATACAACTGCACAGTCACCAGAGGACGCTGCAGAGTCAATTACATACAGTAATGTTGTGATCACACTGGACTAATAATCCAGGGAACACAGCTCAAATCCTGTCATAAGATAATAAGGTGTAGAGCTGAATGAACACAGCAGGCCAAGCAGCAT